TCAAGTTCAAGTTTCTTCTTTTCATGACGCGTGTCGGTCGTCGACGCCCCCTTTGCGGCCCGGCGCTGGGGCGTTTTTGTCCCAAGCACAAATTAGTAAATACAGGGTGTCTGCTGTTCGTTATGGCTTTCGCTGCTGCTCACAGAAATCTTCTGATGGGGTCTCCTGAGCCCTGTCTAGAGGAACAGAGGGGCGCGCCAGGACCCCTTCAAAACAAACTCAGGACTGCCACGGCCGCTCACACCTCCTCGGCGGCCACGACCTCGTAACCGCCGCGGCGCCGGCCGCGGCCGATATCCATGAGACTGGGGCTCTCGTACATGGCCGTGTAATCGACGGGCTCGCCGCCAAGCACGGCGGCGCCGTTCTCGCGCTGCCCAAAGGTCGGCGCGGGATCGCACCAAAAGTCGCGGCAGTTGGTGACGATGCCGCGCGAGTAGGGGTTCCTCTTCTTGCGGCGCGTGTTCTTGGCATTGCCGCCGGTCGCCGCGCCACGGCCGCGGACCGTCTCAAGGAAGGGTTCGACGCCGAGCAGGCGGAACATTTGCTTCATGAAACCGCCGCGGTGGGCGTGGCCGTGCTTGCTGAGAGCTGACGGCGCAACGCTGCCGTCGGGGGCGGCAAGGGCGGCCTGGTTCGGGTCAAGAGGTGTGCCGGTCGAGGTAAAGGCAGATGTGGCGGACGCGTCGCGGATGCCGTACATATTCTCAAAGGTCGTCATGGCGCGGGACACCTGAACAAACTGCACGAAGAGGAGCATGCTGACCCAGGTCAGCTGAACCGTGATCCAAATGCTGAGAACGGCCGTGTAGCCGTCTGCGTTGACGATTTTGCAGAGCGTCGGAGACAAGATACTGCAGCTGTCGGAGGCGTTGATCGAGACATCGTTGAGGTCTAGAGATGGTTAGCACGTGATGTCGCGTTCCCTTAAATACATGGCAAGACATACAGTTGTAGAGAAGCCAGTCGTAGAAGATGATGCCGAAGCTCAGGCTGATGAGGTAGAGGAAAAAATGACGGTGGTTGTTTACACCAATGCAGTTGTACACCCATGGGCAGTGGTGGTCGTGTTTCGCCACGCAGCGCTGGCACTGCTTGCAGTGTTTGCTGCGCAGAGGCGTCCGGATCATGCACGTCACGCAAAAGTTGGCCTCATCAAATTTCCATAGGCCGAGCAGCTCGTCAATGACGGTCTTTTGCTCGGCAATGCCCTTCATCTTGGGCACGTAGCCCGGATCGTGGCGCATGCAGACGGAGTAAAAGTACGCGCACAGCGACAAGGATGTACCGAAACAAATATTGAGCCACCAGTGAGGATTGCTCGGGGCTGTGGGTGTCAGCCAACGTCTAGACCATGTTTGGTTACTTGACGCCTTTACTAACCATTGGAGAAAGTCGTGTACGGCAGAACTGTGAAAATCCAGTTCCAGGCTGTGAGGAAGAGAGTGGCGGCAAAGATGCCGGCAAGATAAGGCTACTAGGTCAGCTTCGCCAGGCCTCCAAGAAATAACTGAAGTATACATACCGTCTTGTGAAAGTGTCTCATGCCCGGTGGCGCATGGTCAAGCACCCTCTGCGCACACCACTGCAACGTATATGCGACCGCCACGCTGATGAGGACACCGGCCAAGATGGGCATGCCTCCCAGTATGCCGAGAACCGACCACAACGTCAATGTCGGCCAGAAGAAGAGGAATTTGGTTACGAAGCCTCTCTTATCCTGCCTCAGGTACTTGGCTCCCGGGAAATGAGGCTCGATCGCTTGAGCATCCTCATCGTACCCGCACTCCCGCAGCGCGCGGTGCCAGGCGCCCACTGTGTTGAGCTCCTTGGCTGTGACATCGGGGGTCTTCCCCGTCTCCGTCTTGGCAAAACGATCGGAGCCGTACTCGATGAGCTTCTGAACGCAGCCGGGCGAGCCCTTGACGAGGGCCCAGTGCAGCGCCGTGAAGCCCTGCTCGTCGGTGGCGTGTACGCTGGCGCCCCAGCGGAGAAAGAGGTCGACACACTGGGGGAAGCCCTTGTAGGCGGACCACATGAGGCCCGTGTGCCCGTAGCTATCGGCGACATCCACGGGGATGCCTTGATGGAGGAGGAGGACGATGAGGAGGACGTTGCCATTGAAAGTCGAAATGTGGAGCGTGTTGTAGCCTTGGGCATCGGTGATGAGGGGGTCGGCGCCGTGCTGGAGGAGGAGATTGACGGTGTAGTAGTGGCAGCGCTGCGCGGCCCACTGGAGCGGCGTCGCGACCGATTCACCTCCTTTTCTGTTGATCTCTGCGCCATGGTCGATGAGGAACTTGGCCATGGCGTACTGGTTGTTGATTGCCGCCCACTGGTACAGTCAGCATGAGGTTCATCAGGATGGTGACCATGGGCTGCATCGACTTGA